AGGCCCCTTGCGCGCTGCCGCCAACCCCCTGCTGCCAGGGCTCTGTGCCTGTTGTGGGGGTGCCTGATCGCGCCCCTCCAAAATGTGCACCCAAAGCCACAGCCCCCCTGCCCCTGCTACACCTCTGAGAAGAGGGGCAAATGCGTGTGGCACCTTGAGCTCATTGAAGAGCTGGCGAGATTTAAAATAAATGAACAAAACCTCTTTGTGTTTGAGGGAATCCTAATACCTCATTTACCAAAGATGGTCCTGAGAGTGTGAACACTCACAGCGAGACAATCTTTCAAGTGAATGAGAACCCACGTAAGTAAATTATGGTGCAAATGGTCTCTTTTCACTCAGATCCTTCTCCTGCAAGAAAAGGCTGGGAGGGAAAGGAACACTCAGTTGTAGGTATGGAAGAAGAGGAAGAGTTTGGATTTGATATCCTGCTTTATCACTACCCGAAGGAGTCTCAAAGCGGCTAACATTCTCCTTTCCCTTCCTCCCCCACAACAAACACTTTGTGAGGTGAGTGGGGCTGAGAGACTACAGAGAAGTGTGACTGGCCCAAGGTCACCCAGCAGCTGCATGTGGAGGAGCAGGGACGCAAACCCGGTTCACCAGATTACAAGACTACCGCTCTTAACCACTACACCACATTGGACCGTACTTCACACCAAAAGCGATTGCACCATCAGGAAAGAAAACCATTCTAAATCAAAGTCTAAAATGTGCTGGAAATGTAAAGAAAAAAGGGTACTTTTTATCATATGCGGTGGTCATGTAAGATGATAAAAGACTTCTGGGAAATGATATATAATGAACTGGAAAAAATGTCGAAAATAACTTTTCCTAAGAAACCAGAAGCTTTTCTTTTAGATATTATAGGACCAGAGATCCCGACAGACCAGACAAAACTATTTATGTACATGACCACGGCTGCGTGGACTCTCTTAGCCCAGAAATGGAAAGATGGTACAACTCTGACCAAGGAAGAATGGCAGACAAAATGGATGAACTAGGCCGAGAAGGCAAAACTTATAGGAAGAATTAGAAATCAGGAAGAGGAGGTCTTTAAATAAAGAATGGGGGAAAGTTTATAATTTGTTTGAAAAGCTATTGTAAACAACTACATACATTGGAAGGATTGACAGAAAACTTGTAGTAAAAATTTGAACTATGGATTGACAAAGGATTTATAAAAATATAGTTATGACAGAGATGCAGAGAAGAAAATCATTACATCAAGATCCACAGTGGGGGGGGGGGGAGTCAGAGGGGAGTCGGAAGCGACTATATGTCATTTCCGGTAACTGTTATTCCAAAGTATATTGCCTCTGAGAGTAGAACTAAATATGGACTCTTAAATACAAATGAGACTGTTAATGTACAGTCACAATGAATTAATCCCCTTCCGTAAATTAGTATAACAGATTTACAGCACAAACCTCACAATTCTTACTGAGACATAGATCCTATTGAATTCAATGGGGCTTACTCTTAGCATTAGGATTGCAGCCTCAGTCAAATTTGCTGGTTTTTGAACTATTTCCTGGAAAGTTTGTCTAAATTTGAGTTTAAGCAATGCTTTCTTCTTTTTCTTCAGGGAGTACTGAATGGTACACCGTACTGGCACCTCTTTTTTGTTGTTAAAAAGTGTGGCACTTACTATAACAACTTCATGGTGAGTACCGGTACCAATTTTCCTAGGGAAAAAAGCACTGGGTTTAAGTATGCTGACTTAAAAATATATATTCATATTCACACTGTGGCCTTGGGTTGGTTGTATATTAACGCCTTTGATCTGCTGGGTATCTTAGCATTTGCTCTTGTCATGCAATCTGTCTGCTTACATTAGCATTTTCTGTTGTCTTTGTTCAGGTCTTTGTTGCGGCAGTTTGACATTTTCTGTTCTTGTTTTCATTTAGACTAGTTGAAATCACGGCTCAGAACAACTTTGCTTTGGCTAAGATGATTTCCTTTTGCAGCTTTGATCTGGCTTAGTTTTGTTGTTTTTTAATCAAAAAGAAGAGCTTCAGTGTGGGTAACAAAGTTTGTTCTATGTGAATCACAAATTCATAGCCAGCTTGTGTTTGGATTTCCTCGAGTACACAAGACGCCTGGAAATGGACTAATATTATGAAGCAATGGACCATCATATTATGAAGACATATAACTTTTGGATTAAAACAAAACATAAAAGTTAGCTTTCAAAAATGTTTCTACTGCTTTTTGTTAACATAAATAAGGGGTTAAATGCTGATACCAGAAACTAATAATAACTCAGGCTGCAATCCTAATCCCACTTACCTGGAAGTAAGTCCCATTGAATTTAATAAGACTTACTTCTGTGTTGACATTCTGAGGATTACAACTTTGCTTGCCCTCCCCCAAAGTAGTTAAGCAGGCTAATACAGTTGTCAGGGGCTTCTTGAAGGAAGGATAAAAGATCAGTAATAACAAGGGAGACCTGTAGCGAAATAGTCTATTCAGATGTTCAGGTAGTAACTCACAAGCTGTGTGAGTGGTTAAAAAACATTGTTTCTGATGAGACCTGCGTACTGTCAAATATTTCTGCATTAGAAATTGGGACGTCCTATTCCATTATTATTATTATTATTATTATTATTATTATTATTATTACCCCGCCCATCTGACTGGGTTGTCCCAGCCACTGGACGGCTTCTAACATATATAAAAACATAACAAAACATTTTAAAACTTCCCTATACAAGGCTGCCTTCAAATGTCTTCTAAAGGTTGCATAGTTACTTATCTCTTTGGCTTGCAGGTTGCATAACTCCATACCCTCCAACATTTCTCCAATGAAAATAGGAACGTCCTAAGGAAAAGCGGGACATTCTGGGACCAAATCAGAAACCAAGGATGGCTTCTGTAAATCGGGAAAGTCCCTGGAAAACAGGGACGTTTGGAGGGTATGTTATAGGTGGGCTCTAGTCAACCTGGAACAGGAGCCCCATAGTGCTCCTGGCAATGTGGAGTTTCAGAAGGGAAGGGAAGGGAAGGGAAGGGGTAACAGTAGATGTCATCCTCAGCTGTGCTATCTAACTTCATACATGGCAGGTGAAGGGAGTTCCTGGGGAAAGGACAGGGCCCTCCTGTTCATGAGGCAGACTGAAGCAGCTGCCTCAGGTGGCAGAATCCAAGGGGTGGCTGCAGCAGCTTCCAGGTTCTGGTGAGATCTCCTGAGCCCCATGAGATTGTGAGGAGGACTCTGAGAGATCCTGCCGGAAGTTGCAGCCGCATGACCCCAGTAAGCGAGGCTTTGGCAGGGATGGGTTCTGAGAACACAGGGCAGCAACTTCCCATTTCACCTCAGGTGGCAAAACGGGCTAGCCCTGCCCTGGAAAGGGAAGCAGCATCCTTTTCAATTTCCTTCCATCTTCTTTATAATGCAGGAAGAGTGGCATATCTGAAGGAGCGTCTCCACCCCCATCGTTCTACCCGGACACTGAGGTCCAGCGCCCAGGGCCTTCTGGCGGTTCCCTCACTGCGAGAAGCCACGCTACAGGGAACCAGGCAGAGGGCCTTCTCGGTAGTGGCACCCGCCCTGTGGAATGCCCTCCCATCAGATGTCAAAGAGAAAAACAACTACCAGACTTTTAGAAGACAACTGAAGGCAGCCCTGTTTAGGGAAGCTTTTAATGTTTAATAGACTATTGTATTTTGATATTCTGTTGGAAGCCACTCAGAGTGGCTGGGGAAGCCGAGCCAGATGGGCGGGGTATAAATAATAAATTATTATTATTATTATTATTATTATTATTATTATTATTATTTGTTTGTTTGTTTTACACTATCGATATAAATATCCCCAGTGCTATTTTTCCAGAAAAAGAATTTACCATGAACGCCTCCCTTGTTCTTTTATGATGAAAATGCTGCCCATCTGAGAGGTGCCGGAACTGAGTTCCAGCAAGTTCCGGTTAAACAACAACAACATAAGCCCCAAACCCTGACTTTCCCCTTCAAATTTAATTTATTAAGAGACTGAGAAGATCAATTAATTCCTCCCTCCCCTCTCCTCCTATTTTTTCTACCACCTTTAAATTCCACTTATTGTAGAAGCTTACAGGTCCTGTCAGATTGGGGAGGAGGTGTTTAAAATGCCTTAATTTACAGCCCTATGCTTCCTTATAGCCAGGGAACCCCCTAATTATACAGAAACCACCATCTTATTTTTGGACAGTCCTGTTTTGCTTCCCAACTGAAAGGAACTCAGCCACCTGAGTTCAATGTTAGATGGACTGCAAATGCCAGCCTCAGATGTGCAGACACATCGGCAAATTACTCGTATCTTTTAAAGTCAAGCTCAAACAGTGAGAGACAAATGAGGCCTGGAAAGTCCAGTAGTTTCCTTTGAATGCAGGGCAGCTATAGTTTTCCAGACTCATCGCGTGCTCCGTACAGTATCTTTTCGCACAGCATCAAGCAATTATGTGCTTTTTAAAAAACCCGTTGAATGATTTGTCCTGGTTTCCTAGTGCTATTTGGAATAATTGCTTGCCAGTGCAATGCAATAGTATATTGAGCATCTGTCTGTTAATATCTTATTAAATGATGGCCTGACTTACACAACCATTCTTCAAATAGCTGCTGTTTTCTGTGATGTTTCATTGAACTCTTTTGGGGAGAATGATCGTGGCATTTATTCGGTGCATGGGAATAGAACAGGGCAGGGAACGTTACAGGACAAACTGGAAGTGTGAAGTCCTTATAGGTTTTCTTGGAGGCTTTTTACTTCTTAATCCAGAAAAGTCCCTCCCATCTGCATTGAATCAGCCTTAACCCAGTTGTGTCATTTTATCACTGTCAAGCTACCAAAAAAAGAAGAAAAATGGAGCTGTCTGGGAAAAGGGAAACCACACTACTGAAAACCTCCACAAAACTGCTTCAATCGTGTGACATTTGCAGACAGAAGAATCGCAGAATTGTAGCGTTGGAAGGGACCCTGAGGATAATCTAGTCCAACCATCTGTAATTCAGGAATATGCAGCTGTCTCTTGCAAGAATCGAACCTGCAACCTTGGTCTTAGCTCCATCCTCTAACCAACTGAGTTATCATGACAATGTTATTTTATAACTGTTTTTTATTTTTATTTTCTGTTGCACCGCTTCATTAACTTTGGGTTGTGCTTTATAAATCTGCAAATATGTAAAACGAAACAACCCGCTGTTCTTGAAAGGAGGACCTTTCCTGATCAGCACTGTGAATTCCCCCTCCTCATCTGTTACATACCCATATAAATATCTATCATAAATCTCTTCGGTTCACGGAAATACATCTCTTAGTTCTCCTAGAAACTTGCAGAAATGCTATCTCTTATTCCACATAGGGCTGCTTGTGCATGGGTTGCGGGTGGGGGTGGTAAATGTAGAGAAGACTGCATATTTCATTCATTTATTCATTTATTCGTTCATTAAATTTATATCCTGCCTTTCCTCCCAAAGGCACTCAGGGAAGCAAACACAAATAAGTTAAGACAGTACAAATGGCAACAAAATAAAAACACATTTAAACTACAGTGGTACCTTGGTTCTCAAACACCTTGGTTCTCAAACGCCTTGGTTCCCAAACACCGAAAACCCGGAACTAAGTGTTCCAGTTTTCGAATGTTTCTCGGAAGCTGAACATCCAATGTAGTTGTCGGCTGTTGTTTCCGGGGCGCCTGCACCAATCAGAAGCTGCGCCTTGGTTTTCGAACATTTCGGAAGTCAAATGGACTTCTGGAACGGATTAATTTTGGTGCTTTTGTTTTTGCTATTTATTTTGCGTTTTTCTTTTTGAGGCTATTCGGTTAATTTGTTTTTGTGACTGTGTGGAACCCAGTTCAGCTACTGATTGATTGATAGATAGATAGATAGATAGATTGTGTGACTGCAGAAATGGATAAACCCCGCCCCCCATCCGAACAATGATGATCATTGGTGCAGGTAAGAAAAAAAATTATTTTAATTTTTATCATCTACAATACTGTCTTATTTATTTTATAGTACAGCACATTGATTATTGCTTTCATTTTATGGATCAATGGTCTCATTAGAAAGCAAAAATCATGATAAATTGCTGTTTTAGGGGTTGTTTTTAAAAGTTGGAACAGATTAATCTGTTTTGAATTACTTTCTATGGGAAAGCAAGCCTTGGTTTTGGAACGCACTTCCGGTACGGATTAAGTTTGAGAACCAAGGTAAATGTAAAGGCACCCCTGACCATTAGGTCCAGTCATGGCCGACTCTGGGGTTGCTGCGCTCATCTCGCTTTATTGGCCGAGGGAGCCGGCGTACAGCTTCCTGGTCATGTGGCCAGCATGACTAAGCCGCTTCTGGTGAACCAGAGCAGCGCACAGAAACACTGTTTACCTTCCTGCGGGAGCGGTACCTATTTATCTACTTGCACTTTGACATGCTTTCGAACTGTTAAGTTGGCAGGAGCAGGGACCGAGCAATGGGAGCTCACCCCGTCACGGGGATTCGAACCCCCAACCTTCTGATTGGCAAGTCCTAGGCTCTGTGGTTTAACCCACAGCGCCACCCTTACCACTGTATTAAACACATCGAAAAACAAACAACCAGACCCCTGCAGTTAATTAGAGTCATATGAACATAAAAGAGCCTGCTGAATCAAGTCAATGGCTTCCTTTTCTCACACTGGCCAACCATGTGAGCCTGTGAGGAACCCGCAAGCGGGCTCTGAGTTCAAGAGCAGCTCTCCCTCCTGTGTTTTCCAGCTACTGGTGTTCAGAATCTTTACTGCCTCTGTGGAAACTTCTCCCTGCTATGCACAATGCATAATGTTATAAACTTCCACTGTGTCACCTCTTAACTCTAAATGGAAAAGTCCCAAATTATGCAACCTTTCCACCCACTTCATAGTTTGGGCTGCCCCCTTTCAGCATGTTTCTTGCTGATGCCCACATTTGGGGGGTGGAAACGTGGCAAAGACTAAATTCACCCCATCGACTGTCAAAGAGCACAAAGAGAACAGAAAAAGCTGGATTTAAAGGATAGGAGAGCAATCATGGACTCGGAGAAAGGAACAGCAACAAGCTACGCATCTATCTCTTGTAGACAAAGCCAGCTAGATGCCTGCCCCTTCTCTCTTTCATGCCCAGCGGCCTTTATCAATTAATGTTTTAAAAGTCTCATTGAGACCTCGCTAAATAATTGAGCATGGGAGGTGATCTTCCTTTATATTTTGCTAGTAAATATTTCATGGGCTTGCTTGGATTCAGAGAGAAACGGAAAGAGAGAGAAGGAGAGAGAAAATAAAGAAAATTCTGTTTGTTTTTTTACCAGCAGTACTGCTTCTTTGAGATACTTGGCCCATACGTCTCTCATGACAGTACTATGAAAAAGAATACATTTTCCAGAGCTAGAATTTCCTATTAGACCTATTTATCTAGCTATCCTGGGTTTGCTCTGTAGTGAGGTCTAGGCTTGAAAATCTTTCAGCAAGTTTTCTGCAGAGTTGTGTGCCAGAACAGTGTTGTGGTGTGTCTTTCTCATGTGCGGTTAAAAGGAATAACATAGATCAAGCACCCGGCTCCTCCACAGTACCTTTTGCAAGAGATTTCCATCTTGTTTCCCCAAAGGTAGCTCAGTTTGCCTAGAGTTATCCAGACACATAAAACAGATTTGCTAAAAGCTTTTCACTGAACTCTGGTGAGCAGTCCCTCTGAAATCTCCCCAACACGCTATCCTTTTTGCCAAGAATGCACGTTGATGTTTAAATTGTATACCATTTCAGCGTTCATGAAACAGATGGAGACATTGGCCTATGTGTACATGAACTGAGAATGGCCCATTTATAGGACCACAGGCCTTCTAAGTGTCCCTATTTTCCGGGACAGTCCCAGATTTACAGAAGTCGTCCCAGTTTCTGACTTGATCCCAGAATGTCCCACTTTTCCTTAGGATGTCTCTATTTTCACTGGGGAAATATTAGAGGGTATGGAGTTATGCAACGCCCAAGCCAAGGAGATAAGTAACTGTACAACCTTTAGAAGACATCTGAAGGCAACCCTATATAGGCAAGATTCTTAATGCTGATGGGTGGGGTGTAAATAATAAAATTATTATTATGGCATCGGACATCCCTATTTTCCTTGGAGAAATGTTGGGGTTATTTATTTATTTATCTAATATACTGCTGTTGGGATGCTGTCAGTGGCTCCCGGCTGGTTGCCCAGGAAAGTATAAAGACAAGGAGAAGTTTCTTGCCGTCTTTTTATTTCAGTATTACAGAGAGAGACTATAGAACCCAGCCTCTTGGATAATAGTGTTGTCCCGAGTGTATTTCCACTCCTTGTCTTTCCCACTTCCTCATTCATCATTCTCATCACCTCCTCTATGGGTGCCACCAACTGCCCTTTGTCTTTGAGCTCTTTGCTCTCCTACTTTTAAGGCTCGCCGGGTTCTGGGAGATGGAGGGTCTGGAATGCTTTCTAAAGACCGTGTCAGCCAGCTGCTGCTCCGGTTCTCCTCCTCCTCCCCCATTATATCCCAGCTTTCCCCCTCATCTGCCTCTGAGCTGTGACCTCCCGCAAACCCCTGTTGTAAATCTGTACGGTCTCCCGCTTCATGCTCCCTGGAAGGTTCAGGATGGAAATGTGGTCTTCCACCATTCCTCCTCTGCCCAGTCCCTGACAACCGCCCTAGACCACGATACCTAAAAAGCTTGTTTCACTCCTAATATACCCATTCGATTGCTGCACTCTGCAGGACAGGACCTTCTGTGAAGATCATCTCATCAGGAGACTTTCTGTAGGATGCAGAAATTGAGCCCTTAGTGTGGCAGCATCAAACCTTTTGGAACTCCCTCCTGTTACATCTCAAAAAAGTGCCACCTCTATTGTCTTTTCAGCACCTGTTCCAGACCTTCCTTTTTCAACAAGGCTTTTAACTGGAGATTTTTACCTCGGTTTTACATGTGCATGTGAAATTGGGTTTATAGATAGCATTGCTCTAATTGCTCTTATATGCGCCAGTGTCTGCTGCATGTTTTTAATGGTGACATCACGTCAAGATGGTTTATAGGAAGTAATTCAAAAATGAAATAAATACATCAATTACAGTGGTACCTCGGGTTATGAACTTAATTCGTTCCGGAGGTCCATTCTTAAATATAATAATAATAATAATAATAATAATAATAATAATAATAATTTATTATTTGTACCCCGCCCATCTGGCTGGGTTTCCCTAGCCACTCTGGGAGGCTTCCAACAAAGATTAAAAATACATTACAATATCACACATTAAAAACTTTCCTGAACAGGGCTGCCTTCAGATGTCTTCTAAATGTCAGGTAGTTGTTTATCTCTTTGACATCTGGTGGGAGGGTGTTCCACAGGGCGGGTGCCACTACCAAGAAGGCCCCTGCCTGGTTCCCTGTAGTTTTGCTTCTCACAGCGAGGGAACCGCCAGAAGGTCCTCGGAGCTGGACCTCAGTGTCCAGGCTGTACAATGGGGGTGGAGACGCTCCTTCAGGTATACTGAGCCGAGGTCATTTAGGGCTTTAAAGGTCAACACCAACACTGAAACCGTTCTCATCCTGAGGCACGCTTTCACTAATGGAATCTATTGCTGTGCACGCGCCTCTGACACATTATTTCCGTTCGCATCCTGGGGCAAAGTTTGCAACCAGGAGCAGCTACATCCAGGTTAGCAGAGCGCGTAACATGAAGCGTTAGTAACCATAGGTACCACTGTATGTTCTTGACTTCATTTGTCTGTCTGGGCTGAATAGGTATATGTGATCACCTGGGAACACTCCACCATAAGACCAGGCCTCCAATTAGCCTGGAAAGTGCTTAACTTTTGAAAGGTGGTAAATAATTTCTGTTAAGTTTGGGGCATCCTCCTGCTCATTCAGCTGCGTGGGACACTGGATGGGACATGGGCCCCAAAGTCCTGCCCTGATGACACCAGTGGTGGCTTACTTCCAAGGAAATGTGTAAGGAGTTGTGTTATGTACCTTGGGAATCGATTGGAATCCCTTCCGGAAGTCCGTTCGACTTCCCAAATGTTCGGAAACTAAAGCGCAGCTTCTGATTGGCTGCAGGAAGCTCCCACAGCCAATCAGAAGCCGCAGAAGCCCTGTCGGATGTTCGGATTCCAAAGAAGGTTCGCAAACCAGAACACTCACTTCCGGGTTTGCGGTGTTCAGGAGCCAAAACTTTCAAGTTGCAAGGCGTTCGGGATCCGAGGTACGACTGTACAGTGGTGCCTCGCAAGACGAAATTAATTCGTTCCGCGAGTTTTGTCGTCTTGCGATTCTTTTCGTCTTGCGAAGCATGGTGTCAGGAAAGTTTTGGAAAAGCTTCAAAAATCACCAAAGTCTTTAAAAACCTCAAAAAAGGCTACCACACCGCGTTCTATGAGTTGCTCCTCGAAGTCAAGTCGCCCCAGTATTAACGGTGTTAAGAAAAAGGAAACAAACTTGCAAGACGTTTCCGTCTTGCGAAGCAAGCCCATAGGGAAAATCGTTTTGCGAAGCAGCTCAAAAAACAAAAAACCCTTTCGTCTAGCGAGTTTTTTGTCTTGTGAGGCATTCGCCTTGCGAGGTACCACTGTACTGGATTTCTGGCAGAAACTGTCAACAAGCTAGGTGAGTGATTCAATTTTTTTTTTATGAGGCCTGGGAGCCTGCTCAGAGCAGTAACAAACCTTTCCAACCAAGCCACACCTGACTCAGTTCTCTAGGAGATGGTTGTTTTTTCTTAAAGGGCCTAAATATTCAGTGGATAATGCAATTATAATACAATTCTGACACCTTTGGTTTTCATTCTTCCGGTGCTTTTTTGGTATTGTCTTTTATGAAATTATTTGGAGGTGCCTGGGGCAAGTTTATAAAAGTTGGGATGTAGGTGTTTTAAAACACTCCAAGTCAACCTGGTGCCTTCTGGGTGTTTTGGACTACAACTTCCATCAACCTTAGCCAGCATAGCTTTACCTGTTGAGGCTGATGCGAGTTGCACTACAAGAAACATCTGGCGGGCACCAGGTTGGCAAAGGCTGTTTAAATACACAAACGAATGAACGAATGTGTCTGTAAGATCCTTTTCCAGGCATGTGCAGTCATAAAACAGAGAGAATGGCAAGTGAAACGAAAAGTCAAGAATGGAGTGGGAGAAGGAGAAATATACCGTATTTTTCGCTCCATAAGACGCACCAGACCATAAGACGCACCGAGTTTTTGGAGGAGGAAAACAAGAAAAAAAATATTCTGAATCCCAGAAGCCAGAACAGCAAGAGGGATCTGGCTTCTGGGATACCCTCTTGCTGTTCTGGCTTCTGGGATAGCCACGCGAAGCCCCTTCAGGGCAGTGGGATGAAGGCTCCCCCAAGAGTGTGTGTGTGGTTCTTGGGGGCTTTTCCCCGAGGAGGGAGAAGGGCAGCCCTTGGGGAAAAGCACCAAAAAGTTGCACACACGCTCCACGGGGCTCTTTAAAGGGAGCGCTGAGCAGAGCTTCCCACCTGCATTCGCTCCATAAAACGCACACACATTTCCCCTTACTTTTTAGGAGGGGAAAAGTGCATCTTATAGAGCGAAAAATACGGTAGTTGGACAATATGGTACAGTTGTATTCAGTAAAGCCACAAGCTGGCAGAGAGCCTCCTACAGCATATGCCAGGTTGTGGCTAGCGTGACATACAGAAGGAGAGAAACAACTGGGGCATTTGGATCCCAGATCTCTGTTCCAAATACCTATGGCAAACAACATAAATAACTGACAGTATCACTTAATGAATCCTTGATCTCAATATCCTAAAGGCACAGATATATCACTCTGAATGTATCACCCAACCTACATCAGGAAGTTGACTTCAAGAGGCAATTATTTCTGTGCTTGATACAGTAAGAAGGAGCTGTTCTCAGTTAAGCTGAGCAAAAAAGACAGTTTCGGTTCGTTTTATTTGATATAGGTGCATAAATACTGCAAGCATTATTAAGTCCCTTTTGAATTTTAAATGCATCTGCTTGAAAATGAGTTATAATTGGGGGGAGAAATGAAAAAACTCCTTCCCCAAGGAATAGAGGGTGAGGAGGGGCAAAGGACACAGGAGAAATTTTCCCGCCGTCTACTAATAGCGTTTATATAACACATATTTCAAGACTCTTCACATAAATTATCTTGTCATAACGAATGCACACTAGCAGATTTCGTTTCAGCTGCCATCTCCTTGAGATGCACAGAGAATTACCATTCTGATTTATTCACAAGAAGGAGGAAAATCAGAGGCTCTAGTGCAATCCAAGGTGGGTTGTGAGGGTGTCACTTAGATGACGCCTTCTTGCCTCCACACTTCCTGGGAATCTGACTGCTTCCTCGCATTTGCAGATATATGAAAAAAGGATTTGGACAAACCTAAACTCTCCGGGGCCCATAGCTGAACTATGACACATGCTGGAGCATTAATGACAAGTTAGATGTTTGCAAGACAGTGGCAATATTTTTTAAAAAATTCATATCTTTATTTACTCCTTTCCAATCCATGCTTCTGTTTAGACCTTTATTTCTATTCCATTGTTAGAGCACTGGCGTTACATGCCGAAGGACAATTGCGCAGCCATTCTGACTGCTCTGTTTCCTCCCCTATTCTGTCTGTGTTCTGATATGGTTAGTTTAATTTCCAATGCTCTGTTTTGAATGGGACAAGCAGCATGAAATCTGGCTTTTAGAGCAGCCTTGCATTTAGCGGCTCACCAGATCACCACAGGCGACCAGAAATCCCATGCAGACACATCTCTCCTCTAGTAGCTGTATCTGCTAGCTGTAGAACAAAAAAGAGCCTCTTCCTCCACAACCAGCATGGAAATGTTAGAATTCCCGCTCCATGATTGCAGTCATGGGATTTTTGTCTATCACATGACAGTGTGTGTTTTGACTCCACAGAGTGGAAAGTGATGGAGACAGGATGTTTGTGTTACTGTGTACCGTGAAGTGGGACTATTGTCCTTTGTTCTTTCTCTCTTTGCTGCCTGATGCTAGAGAGAGAGGGAGCCATGTCGCAGTGCTCCATGTGTGTTTATATGTGAATAAAGTAGATTAGCCAAAATGCTGAGTTGCTGAGGTCTGTTACACAAGCTGCGAAGACTCTGCGGATCCCTAAGTGTGCCGATGTCTGGTGGCATCGATCGCTGTGATGTTCAGGCAGAAGGAAGCTTTTGAAACTCCTGAACGATCGACCAGGAGGGAGGGAACATGCCAGTTGGGCATGTGTCTCTGCCAGGGTCCTACTCGAGAGTAGGATGAGCTCCTAAAAGGAAATATATCAGGATGGCTTGGTGCGATGAAGTAAATGGGGATGGAGGAAGAATCACTCTATCCCCCAGCCCACTAGGTCAACGAAAGTGAACATGGTGCCTTCCAGATGTTTTGGACTACCACTCCCATAATCTTTGACCACTGGCCATGCTATTTTGAGCTGATGGGAGTTGTAGTCCCCAGCATCTGGAGGGCATTGTGTCTGCACACACCCTACTGAGAAGCTAGAAACCTGATTTTTTAATACTAGCTGCAAAGCAGGGTCTTCCCCTCCTCTGTGGCCAGCATGGAAATGCAGGCTATTCTCCTCTAAGCTACTAAGGTAAAAGGCAAAGGACCCCTGGATGGTTATGTCCAGTCAAAGGCGACTATGGGGTTGTGGCGTTCATCTCGCTTTGAGGCTGAGGGAGCCAGAGTTTGTCCACAGACAGCTTCCGGGTCATGTGGCCAGCAGGACCAAACTGCTTCTGACACAATGGGACGCTGTGATGTAAACCAGATCATACGAAAATGCCGTTTACCTTCCCACTGCAGCGCTACCTGTTTATCTAATTGTACTGTGTGCTTTCAAACTGCTATGTTGGCAGGAGCTGGGACAGAGTAACGGGACCTCACCCCGTCGTGGGGATTCAAACCACCAACCTTCCGATCGGCAAGCCCAAGAGGCTCGGTGGTTTAGACCACAGCGCCACCCGCTAGTGTTCTGTGGGTGGGTCAGGACCCACTAGCACTTCACAGCCTGATCCAATGTGTATCCTGATCCATGTTTGGGTTAAAAGTAGGTCCTGGGTCTGAAAAGGTTGAAGACTATTGCTGTAAGAAGGTAAGAAAAAAGAAAAAAATGCAGACTAGTAATTTTTTGTGAGCTCATTAAAGGCTGCTGTAATAAATGTAGGGGTTGCTCGTGCGTAGGTTGGTGCCACTCCTGGCTAGCTTGCCTTGTTAAACCTTTTCTGTCTGGACAGCCCTTCACTTCGTGGCTGTTCAGTCGCTAGCAGAATCTGTCAGTGGGCGTTTCTTAAACCTTTTCCAGCATAAAAGCTGTTTGACCCCAAGTCTCCTCCTACTCTCCCTGCGCAGAAGTCTCTTGCGCAGGGAGGGTGTGGGTAGCGGAGGACCCGTGCTCTCCTCGCTGGTCTCCAGCGATGAGTCCTGGAGCCCCCCTCGCCGATTCCCGCATCTGCCCCCCTTTATCCCTGGTGTTACGCTGATTTCCTTCCCCAGCTGGTGAGCTGCCTCCCCCCCTGCTGGGCCCTTCTCCAGCATCGCTTGAGAGCCTTGCCTCCGCCTCTGGCTCCGATGTCAGTTCCCTGACAGCTGCTTTATTTATTTTTTACCTGCTAGGCTTCTCCTCCTCCTTAACATTACAACATTACAACAACTCAGGGAGGTAGGTCAGTATTCTTTTATGCCCATGTTGCAGATGGAAGGCTGACTTAATAATGGCTTTCTTGAGGTCACACAAGAAGCTGATGCCTGGCTCATCCATCCATTAGGTTGCAATCTTAGGCATGCTTACCTAGGAGTCAGCCCCATTGAATACAGTGGCACTTACTTCCAGGTAGTATTTGTGGGCTGCCTTCCGTTTCCAAATATTTAAAGGCTGAAATTATTCCCAGCTGTCTCATGCAAATGTAAACATGATCTTCCCTCTTTCTTCTCTAGTCCTTCAGATCTTTCCCCCTTCCATGTATATTTTTGATGAGGCCTTTCAACCTGTGACCTCTCCAGAGACTGTCAACACATTTTGGTAGATTTGAACTGCTATGTCAACAGGCATAGCTATCTAAACCCGATAGCGAGGTGGCTGCTTGCGAGATCCGACCACAATGTCTTCTTGTCACGGTGGGGTGTTCTATAAATTGGCGAGCAATGGCTTTTGCATTCTGACCCCAAAAACACGGTTTCTGGGGGCAGTTGACTGGAAGGTTTTCTCATATCGCCTTTCAGAGATGTGCAGCAGGTTTTGTATTCCAAATAAGAGCAAGCAAACAGAGCGAAAGGGAGATTCAGATATTAATCCATTCAGTAGACACATGGCATTGCTGCCCCTTACCTCAGAATATGGGACAAAATGTATAATGGATTTGCTTCTCAAAATAGTCAATAAATACCAGAATTGTCAAATTACCTAAAACCACAAATCATTACATAGCAATTTAAACAAAGAAAATATGTTACATCCCACATAGGTCAAGCTTCACAATAGCATTGTAAGGCAAATTGCTACAGCTCCAATTTTATTGAGGGCCAATTCAAATCTAGTCTAGGCAGTTCATTTCTAAGCAATGAGTGCTCTGTGGTTTGTTAAGGGTAGTCCATTTGTTAAGCGTGCTGAGAATTGATAGTAGACCCCTATTTCTCTCAAATTTCAATAGAATTTTATTTCCTATTTCTTTTTCTTTTTTTCTTTTTCTTGTTTTGGTTTTGAGAAGTTTTATTGTTTGATTAAAAGAATTTTATTTCCTATTTCAACACTTGGCTTATAGCGTCTTCAGACATAACATTGAAATGAACAGGAAATGAACGTTCCTCACACATCCTGTTTTCCCTTACTGACATTAACTGAAATATCTCCCTCCCCATCCTTTTTCTTCCAAACCATAGTAGTAGGACTGGCCCCACCATTAGGCAGAGTAAGGCAACTGCCTCAAGCGGCAGCTGTTGAGGGAGCAGCAGTCCCACCTCCAACCACTATCTCCTTAGCCTCCAGACAATGGTTGGACATCAAAGCTATGTGAACCACAGGACTGTTGTGCATCCGCTAAACTAGCCCGCTGCCCCCAAATTCCCTGAAAAATGCTTTCCTCTTGCCCGTGTTGAAGGAAAAGACAACAACTAGTTCATTCACGGAATGGGCAGGACATCATGTTATATGCTAGGGTTGCCATATTTTGAAGAGCAAAAAAGAGGACGCTATGATGACTCTCATTTTAAATACCCTACTGGATGTAGGCTATAGGAGCTGTGGTATATTTCTGAGTAGGGCAGGAGAAAAGAAGAAGAAATTAAGTATTCAGCCACCAGTTATGTCTATGTCTCATCCAGAAAGCATAGCCAGAGACCGTTTGGCAAATTTTAAAAATCCACCTGGGCAGAAATTTTACCCATGAAAAAGAGGACGTGTCCTGGAAAAAGAGGACACATGGCAACCCAAAATTGTCTTGGGCTGGTCCTGTAGGTAGATATGGAAGCTGTCTCTACATTGAGAATTTATCAATTTCTTGGTGATGAGAGGGTGCAAATTGAGGTTGTTGAGGGTGTTGGGAATTGTAGCTCAGGAACAACAGTTCCTGGGATTCTTTGAAGGGAAGTGCTTTCGGTGTGCATTATTATTATTATTATTAATAATAATAATAATATTAAAACCTGGACCCGCAGGTTTTTCCTCAACCTACATCTTAAATGGTTCATTTAATGCAGACACATTCAAGGGCTGGGTACCAAAGAGCATTCTTCAAGTATTAATAAATATCAGTCTTAATATTTCATGACAAAAAGCACCTCTTTAGCTATGATTAAATAAACCCACTCCTTACCTATTAGTTACTGACATAAAGACCGTGAGCTACAGACTATGCTGTTCCAACAGCCAAGGATATGTCCCAATAGCTGTCATGAGGTCATCAATCCACAGTAATTACATTCATCTTTTTCATTGAGATATTTTTCTGTCTGGTTTACAAAATGATGCCCCAGGTGGAGAGTTAAGGACTGATTCCCGCCCCCCCTCTGGGAACGAGCCCTTCAAAAGCAGTTCTATTAAAGAGACTATGCACAACTTCATAATCCTATGAGTGATCGTTGCAGAATGCGTCTTCAAGTTAAATTACCAGCATGGCAAGAATTATTTATGTGAGTTTTAAAAATACATAACAAACGCATTCTTAAAAAAAGAAGAAGTGGAAATATACCAGAAATTTAAACTCAATAACAGGACCTACTGATTGATTTGCATGACCTTTAGCTTTTTTGCTGTTCTCTGACAGGAGAGATGCTAGTTAAATGTCAACTATTAGCAGTTCGAAAGCATGTCAAAGTGCAAGTAGATAAATAGGTACCGCTCCGGCGGGAAGGTAAACGGCGTTTCTGTGCACTGCTCCGGTTCGCCAGAAGCGGCTTAGTTATGCTGGCCACATAACCCAGGAAAACTGTCTGTGAACAAACATTGGCTCCCTTGGCCAGTAAAGCGAGATGATCGCCGCAACCCCAAAGTCATTCACAACTGGACTTAACTGTCAGGAGTCCTCTACCTTTTATTATTTCCTTTTAACTTCACTATGGATATGTTTGTTATTGGATCAAGAGGGAACACTGATCATCACATGGATTTAACTGCTAAACTTAAGGAAGATACTAGAAAGTCTCAACCACATTTTCCATGCGCACAAAACATATTTGGTGGGTTTCCCCTCTTGCCTACCTAAATGTAGCATTTTACAAATAAAATGTGAGTTTCATTTATGCTATATAGATATGGGAAGAAGAGAAATATTTAGCCTGGTAAGTCCATGTTTGATGGAGAAGCACATAAACAGCTTTCGGAAAACCAAAGAATTTAAATTTCACCTTCTGAAAATGTCAGGTAATGCTAAACAAACAAACAAACAAACAAACAAACAAACAAACAACTGCAAGTACTGGGCAATCATTTTAATTATTTCTCTGCTATTTTACACACATTTTACCTACCAAGCAAAACTAAATGATATTAATTTAACCAAAATATATTTTTAATACCCAAGTGATGTTACAACTTTTTAGCACCCCTCAGTTCTGGAATTTTGAAAGTTGCCAAATTCAACATGCCCTAACTTTGGTGCCTAGGAGAATGGTACTAATCACAACTGTGGCATAAAGGGAAAAGATAACTCTCCTTCCTTTATGCCATCATCAAAATCCTGGCCACACACACCCCTGCGACTGTTAAGGAAAACCCAATTGTATCAAATGCATTCACATATTTAAAGTCTTGTTTGGCCCTAAATCAAGGAGGACAGAAGAAAGTGTCAGAGATGGGGGAGGGAATCCATGGTATCAGTCCTTGCTGTGCCTCAGGGAATGACATTAGTCAGGATTGTGGGGTACAGGGTGGTAGAATTAAGGAATTAATTGAGATTCACCATCCCTTTTCCATTTATCAAGCTTAATGGGTATTTTGCTAGTAAAAAAATAACAATGCCTTGCTTGCTTCTGCTCAAATCATTGGGGCATTAATATGTTGGATATGACTGTTTCATACCCTATTTTTCAGTAGGGTCTATTTGTCTGTTTTTCCCATCTGCCCCGTGATGTTTTTGTGTCGCAGCTGCTCTTCTTGTCCTTGGTTTGATGCAATGAGAGAATATTTTAAGGCTGCCCACTGTGGAATCTGGAGAAGCGGAGCGATGACACAGCAGCAAACAATTTAATTAAAAATCATCTTGAAATAGCCAACCGCCAAATTTAAGAAGAAAGAAGAAATGATGGGTAAGAAGAGCCACAGATCTATTTTTGGATACGAATCATTTCAAAATGTATTGACTCACGATGTTCTGAAGACTTCTTCTGGCTATATGATATTGTGGTTTTCTGAAGTGAAGCACTGCTTTCATCCTTCATTGTACAATACGTTGAAACTTAACTTTACAAGGGCAGTCAAATAAAACTTTTCGTTATGCCAACCATTGCTGGCAGATTTTCTCCTACGAGGACACTATGGTCTCCCCTCCTCCATATCCTTTAACCCTACTTACATATTGTGCTAAAAAGAGAGGCACCATTATAAGGCCTCTCTTTTCATCGCTGTGGTAGAGAGCGGTTTCAATTTAACAGTCCTCCTGATACACAGCAACCGGCCTCCCTCATCGGTTGTGATGATCTCTTATTACCAGAAGGATCAGTTTGGACCTCCAGCACTAAATGGCTTGGACTGCTACTGCCTCCAACCTTTGGACGATTAATGATTCCAGCGAGAGAGGAGGAGAGCCATGTTGCCCTGAACTTATCAGAGAGAGGCCAGCATGGTGTAGTGGTTAAGACCGGTGGACTCGTAATCTGGTGAACTGGGTTTGATTCCCCGTTCCTCCATGTGCAGCTGCTGGGTGACCTTGGGCTAGTCACACTTCTCTGAAGTCTCTCAGCCCCACTCACCTCACAGAGTGTTTGTTGTGGGGAAAGGGAAAGGAGAATGTTAGCCGCTTTGAGACTCCTTAGGGTAGTGATAAAGCGGGATATAAAATCCAAACTCTTTTATCATAAAGTGAAATTCCAGGCCAATTTGGAGAGATCCTCACATCTCTGAGAAGTGGGCTAGAGTGCAAAGAAGGCGGGGGCGGGGGGAGGGGTCTTCTTGATTTCTTGACAAAAGGGATAAAAAGTTAACCAAAAGGAAAGGGTGGAGGTTCTGTTTTCCTACCAAACCATGTCATGCATGGAAAGCAAGAGTCATTTGACACTCAAGAATAAGACCCATGCAATGAAGATACATTCTAATTGGGGAAGGCTCTCAATTGTGCACCCCAGCACACAACATTCAAAGTGATGGGTCAGATTGCTCCTGTTCAGAACCTGTTGTCCTGCCGACATCAAGGTCACCTCAATTTTTCTGCTCCTCCCCTCCCTATGATATGCACTGTATGAAAATGCTTAGGGCCACAGTGGTGGTCCTCTGCCTTGGCCACTTCCCTTACTATAAGGCCTCATCAGTACTATCCATTTAAAGCAGTATCACTCCACTTTAAGCAGGCCTGGCTTCCCCCAAGCAATCCTGGTGTGAGGAATGATAATGTTGCTTTTTCACAAAAGCCACAATGCTGCAACTGCTAGATAACCACAGACAGCACAGACTTGCTTATACTTATATTAAGAGCAGCTTGCGATTAGGATGCTCATAAATAGGGCAGCTTGCAGTTGGAATAGGGTTTATTTGTATGCTTCAGCAGGTATCAAACTCATTTACACCTGTTACTGGTCAGGGTGTGGCTTTGTTGCTTGAGTCAATGTGTAAAAACATAGGAACATGGACCAAATAAGGAGAAATGTAAACAGGGGCGGTGGCCGTCAAAATCAGAGTAATGGGAGATGTCAACAAAGGCGGGGATTTTAGTTGGGAATTTAGGCAGTCGTGATAGGCTGTAAACCTTGCAAGTACCCAGCCAATGGGGAAACTGTGGGAATGTTCAGGGAGACAGGAGAGGATATATTCTTTGATTATATCCTTTCCAACTTGTGTTATGAAGTTCTACAATTTAGCAGAGTAACATTCCCCATTTCAAACTTGTGCAGCGGATAGCATTTGCCAGGCTTGTATAAGCCTCTAAAATAAGTTTCCTGCTAATTCCCCTTTTATTCCCTCATGAAAAAAGAAAGAGTTTACTCACTCACACATTCTGTTCACAAATGGATTCCAGAAGGCAGACTTAAGTTACAAAAGTAATATCGCTGGAAACTATCCCATAAGGAGACAGCTCCTGAGAACATCTCAGATTAAGCAGATGTTGCTTCTTCAAGGAATGGAGTCAAAGAGAGAGAGGTGGCTGTCCTGCCCTGTGCTTTTGTCATTACCTGCATAGGGAAGGTCATGCCCACCTCTGGTCACATGTAGAGAAAGCCTGCCCCAGCCCAGAAGGAAACAGGAAGTTTACCTGCGGGCTGGACAAACATTCCTCCTCATGTGTAAACATGTTCACTCTAGGAATGTTGTACCTGACTGCTCTGTGTTTTACATCCCACAGAAACAAGGGAGGGAACCTGCGCTTCGGGTTTAGGGAATATAAGCTTATGCTTTGTCAATTTTGGGTGTGCCTACTTTGGACACCTGCTCTTGCAGTGAATGTTATTGTATTCAATAAACTCTTTGTTGCTCCACCAATTTTGTTCAGATTGTATTTTAAAGAGTGGGGTTAAGGTTCTTAGGACCCACCTTTTACCTCTAACACTGGGAACTGCAGTTTTTTTAAGGATCCTGAGAGTTGTTAGGAGCAGAGCTGGCCTGCCCACGAGACTGTCAGAGCTTCCGTATGACCGAGCTGAAATAGCTCTCCTCCTCATCGTACTTCAGAATCCATCAGGCTCTCATCCGACGGTGATTAATGACCTAAGCCTTTAATGAGGCTTCAGGCACATTCCCCCATTCCGCAGAGTATCCAAGCAGCAGCAGAAGAGCAAGAAATATGAGCTACATTGCTACGTTTATTACTAACTACGCAGGACAGAAAATAATATACACCTGCTCTCTGTGAGAGTCAGTGAACAACTGGAACAAAGAAACAGGAAACCAGTAACATCAACATCCGTCTCCCATCTCTCATGAGACTTCCAACAGTCTGGAATGTAAACAGAGTTTTGTGACTCCAAAAACTGCACAATGGCATAACAGAAAACTAACAGAGACAGGATTGAGCAGCCACCTTGAGTGGCAGAAGCTGAAAGATTTGTGTCCCTGCAGCTGCCCTGCCTGCCCCACTGCCTCTGCCACTGGTGGAGAAGATCTTATGGTGGGATGGAGTGGTGGCATGTTCTCATTTCCCCCTCAGGCGGTGAAACAGGTTGTGCCACCCCTGATTAGGAGACCCCCTATTCCCCTCACAGAGCTATGATTCCCAGAGCGGTTTAACAACCAATCCCTCTTCCCGAGGGATTCTGGGAATTGCAACTCTCTGTGGGGGGAATAAGCATCTCCGAACAATTCTCAGCTGTCTTAATAAAATACAGTTCCCAGCATACCTTGGGGGAAGAAGCCATGGCTGTTTAAAGTGGTGTAATACTGCTTTAAATGAATGACGGGGCCTAAGGGTCTGTGGAATTTTAATATGAGCTTTACAAAAAACCTTTATAATGAGCTGTCATTTAATCACTGTTGGTTAACTGCTGTCAAGACATTATGATCTTTGCATATTTTTACACCTCTGTTGAAGTTGCACTTTATCGCTACTTTCTCAGTGCCTTTTATCATTCCTCATTTGCTGCACATTCTTACTACAGCCAGGTGATGGACAGGTGGACAGGTAATTTTGCTTGCTTTTAATTTTTTAGTTTAAAGCAATAGCGCTATTGAAAGTGCTACTTTTGTGCAGAAATGAACCAGACAGAACCCCCCCCCTTTTTTTAAATGGCCATGTTGCTTCAAGTATTTCATGTCTGAAACTTCAGACTCCGTCAGACTATTCCACATAAACTGTTCTAAAGGACACGACTAAGCAACAAAGGGCAAACCCCTGGCAGCTTTGAAAAAGAACAGCCCTCGCAGGAAAGGATGAATTTCTGTTAATGAGGACCAGAATCCCGCAGAGAGAAAGATATCACAGAAGAATGCTTAAAAGAATGTCCTTCAGTTATAAGCCATTTCCGCTACAGATTGAAAGATCAGTATTCCATCTCAAAACATATCTTAATTCTAGTGCAATGAAATCAGATTTGTGCTCTGAATGAATTTTCATCCACCTGGGACTCAGTTCTTTGGTAGGCAGTCTCAAGAGTTATGATCTTATTTTGTTACATGGCATGGGAGTTATGAAGGCAGCTGAGCCTAAATTTGATGGCGTGTTCAATGTGGTCCAAAAGTTAGCATGTGCTTTCTCTATGTTACAGTTCATTCTTGTACGTCTGCATGGCCTGTTATGAACCAACCTTTATATATTTTGACTTTTTAAAAAAAAAACAACAACAACTTTAGATTTGTTCTTGGCTTGTGCTGTTGTGGGGTTTGGAGCCTTAGGGGTCTCCTGTAACTAGGATATTTAATCAAGTAGCCCTTCTACATCTGCTCTCTGAGAATTGTTGTTGAACCACCATCACCTAACATGAGGGGAAATGATCAGTTGCTCCATTGTCACATTTCTGCTTTGCATTTTGCTCAGGATATTTTGAAGTCTCTGGTGCTGCCCTATGAGACGGTAAGCTATTGGGTCTCTCTTTGGGGGCATCCTAAATGAATGAGGCTATTATGGCCCACTTAACTGGACACTCTAGGGAGCATTGCCACATTTCTGGAAAGACTGTGGTCTCCAGTGCTTTCTTTCTTTTCTTTTTAAAATATTTTTTATTAGGAATTTCAACAAGACATTTTATCAAAAAACATATCATCCTTAATTTCACCCCCTCCCCCCATAAAATAACCCCCTCCCCTCCCCCCCCCGACTTCCCTCAGCTCCTCTCTCTGGTTTATCAACAAATGTTATTCTCTGCATGTTACAAAATTATGTATAGATCCTTAATTTATCTAACTAGCTGTTATCAATAAAAGTTTGCGAGTGTTTATTCAAAACCTGCCAAGGAGTCCAGTTCATTTTGTTGCTTCTTTAAGTACTTTGTAAAGGGTTCCCATTCATCTTTAAAGTCACAGTTATCCTTGTCCCGTAGTTTGTGTGTCAATTTTGCCAATTCTGCATAATGCACCAGTTTTTCTTGCCATAGTTCTTTAGTCGGGATTTCCTCATTCTTCCATCCTTGTGCTATTAAGACTCTTGCACCGTTGTTGCATACATGAAAATATATTTCAATTTCCTTGGCAGGTCTTTCCCTACAATCCCTAACAAAAATGCTTCAGGTTTTTAAACAAATGTTAGATGGAACATTTTCTTCAATTCATTGTATATCATTTCCCAAAAGGTCTCTAGTGCTTTCTATCATTCTGCGATGTCTGGAAACTTAACCTT